ATCTCCACGAAGAGGCTGTGATAGAATCACACAAAAGGAAAGCTCACTTATAAACATGGGAATTAGAAATGCACTTTAGGTCCGTCTGTTTGAGGACTGGAGATCCTGCTGATTTGAAATCATGCTTTTATGGTTTAGTATATCGTCTTTGTTAATTTCAGATGAGAAACTAGGGAACTCGAGAAATTTTTTCCCTGGGTCAGGATACAATTATATAGTTAATTTAGAAGTCAAACAACAAAAAATCAGCGTTATATTTCCAAATTTTTACGGGACTAATTTCGATGGTTTTACCGAACCATCATCCTCAGCTGCAAAAGCGCAAGTGAACGAAATAAGATGTAATGATTCTATAAGATAAGAAAGACTGGCCAGGATATAAGCTATTCGTACCATCTGTTGATGAAACCAGAACTAAAACATGATATCTTTAAAGAAGGCAAAGATGGATTGGAATTAGGGTCATTAACTAGAACAGAAAGATTTTTTTTAATGTGAAATGCCTCTAGAAAATCCAGTTCACCAATGGAAGATGTTTTTGCAGCAGAAAAATTGTTTTAGTTCTGGTTTCATCAACAGATGGCGCCAGTAGCTTAATCTCCTGTCCATGCCTTCTTATCTTATTTTGTTCATTAGCGCTTTTGCAGCTGAGGATGATGGTTCGGTAAAAACCATCGAAACTAGTCCTCTGAACATTTTAAAATATAACGCTGATTTTTGTTGTTTGACTTCTAAATTAATATTTGTTCGGCGTGTTATTGTATCTTAATTTTAGAAGCCCCAAACAGGCTTATTTTGTGCTTTCTTTTTTCCACATTGCTTTCGTCATCTTGCGATTGTATGTGTTTCGGAGCCGCAAAAGGCTTATTTTTCACTTCCTTTTTTTTTTGCACAAACCATTGAAACTAGTCCTGTGAAAATTTAAAAATATAACGCTGATTTATATTTGTTCAAGGTGATATTGTATCTTAATTTTAGAAGCCCCAAACAGGCTTAGTATGTGCTTTCTTTTTTTCCACGTGGTTTTTGTCATCTTGCGATTGTATGTGTTTCGAAGTCGCAAACGGCTTATTTTTCGCTTCCTTTTTTGCATGTGGTGTAACCGCCATCGTGTGGTTGCATGAGTTTCTGTAAGTACTTTTTTGCAATTTTTAAGTTCTACTTGTGTTTCACATATTTGAATATTGTGCTTTGCTTATCTGATTTCATGCATTTTAGTTGCAGATATTTTGTTTTCTATTCATTTCAGTGTGAAATTTTTCTGCTGTTTTGTGCATGCTTTATTATTGGTTAGTTAATTTAGTTTGATTTTCTGCATTGTTTATCATGCTTTCATCCATTAATTGTTTCACTAAATTATGCCTGAAATGACAAAAATTCCTGAAGCAGCTTGACTTTTTACTTAAGTGTAAATGTAAAAAACTGATCACCAATTTCATTCAAATCAAATCTACTCAAAAATGTTCCAGTTGCGTTTCAAGAATTCTGTTAAACTGCAAGATGGCCTTGCTTCGATCCATTATAAGGGATACACGTCAACAAGTATCCAAAATTGAACATGAGCTCTGTATTGATTTGAAAATTGAACATGAGCTTCATCTGGAACTTGCTAATTCATATCCAAAATTCACTGCCCTTGAACAAAAGTCTTAGTCTAGAACAGAGAATGCAGTTAACCGTCATAAAACACCCTTGTAGTTAAATTCAAAAAACTTCTTTTACAGTCTTCCAGTTCAAGTAGTTCAAAAAATCTTTCCATTGTAAACATTAAGCCAATAGTTAATATTTCTAATGTTAGTTTATCAGAAGAACAAGAGAGAATTCTAAAATATAATTTTAACTTCTTACAAACCTGTACACCCTCGATTCCAAAGATTTTGGCTCCTATCGGAAAAGCTTTCAAGTTCAGCAAAGTTTCAGATTCACAGAAAGAAATTATTAGTCATCTTATCGCTCATAATGTGAAATTCAATAATAAACCTTTGAAACCAAATCTAACCATGGGAGAAAGAGCTACAATGCGTGAAATTAATTTTAACCTGGATATTATCATTTCAAAGGCCGACAAATGTGGCCAGATAGTCGTCATGGATAAGAACACTTCCATCGATGGTGTCACTAAGCTCTTAAACGAAGGACCATATAATCCGATTCCTAAAGATCCTTCACATTCGGACCTGTCAAAAATAAAAACTCCAATCAAATCTTCACAAATCCTTTCACGCAACTTAAAACGTTTGCTTATCCCATCTGTTGCGAATTGTGCCAGATTATATGCTTTTCTCAAAATTCATAAAAATGGTATTCCTTTCCGCCCTATTGTATCAAATTTAGGTGCTGCCTCATATCCGTTGGCTAAATATTTAGTTTCTAGGTTTTCCACTCTATTAGGCAAAAAAATTCAATAGAGTTTGTAAAAAAAGTTTAAAAACATTTTTCCTAGAAATTGACCGATAGTTTCTTTTGATGTAAAATCGTTATTCGCTAATGTTCCAGCGGAGGGTGCATTAAGATGTCTTCACGAATCAGACTTCACGAATTTCATTTCTCTTGCATGGAAATTGATGAGCTAATTTCTCTCACTCAACTCTGTTTGAAACAAACACATTTTGTTTTCCAAAATAAATATTACAAACTGAGTGATTAGCCATGGGAAGCCCCTTTCAGTCCCATCCTGGCTGATGTCTACATGCATTATTATGAATCAAAATTGTTTGAAACTTTAAACTTCCCGGTATGGTTCCGCTACGTAGACGATACTTTTACCCTCTTTGAAGGTAATAAAGATGATATAAATAAAGTTCTTTCAACGATGAATTCTGTTGATCCTGCTATTCAGTTCGCTTTTGAACTTGAAACTTGCAATTCTCTTCCGTTTCTTGACATTCTGGTCACACATAACACATCCAACTTTAGTACTACGGTTTACCGTAAACCTTCATCGGTTTGCCTTCCACCACACTTTAAATCATGTCGTCCGACTAAACAAAAGTTAGCTTCATTTTATTCCTATGTTTTTCCGTGCTCTTCAAGTTTGCTCTTCCAAACTGTCCCTTGATGAAGAACTAAATTATTTAAAAGTAATAGCTATTGACAGGGGCTTTTCACCTAACATTATTAATCAAGCAGTTAAAAAATTCTCATCTCAACACACTAAAAGACATACTCTTGTTTTAGGACCAAGGACCAAGGCGTTTGGATTACGAAGTACCTTTGCAATTAATTGCAATTACCTCCACATCATTGTTCAGATAATGAGTTAAATAAGAGAGAAGCAGTCGCTAAAGTTGATGAAAGAGCAGATAAGCTAAGGTCAAGAATCGCTAAGAGTCCTCTTGTTAGGACACAGGAGGAGAGTGTAAGAGTTTATCACAATTGAAAGCGTTTAGCCCCGCGGAGTGAGTTAACTTCTTACACTCAGTAGCAAAAGAGAGGCAACCGGAACGCTAAGTGCGTGGATGGTTGCCATGGAGACAAAACAGCTGATGGAGTGAGGCGCAGTTGACTGAACCGGTCCTCGGGAAAGGTAAGGTATTGAATCCAAGCGTTTAGCTAAGAGCCTTGGGATGGTCAGAGCGAGGACAATCGGGGTCACTGATCGAAGAAGGAGAAAGAGGCGAAAAAGCGGTTACAGAGAGTTTCTTGTTTTAGGAGATTATAAAAATTCTGTTGTCATTCCCTTCTTTTCATCAATTAGCTATAAAGTTGCAAATATTTTGCAGAAATTTAACTTTCGGGTCGTTTATTCTCCCATCAATAACATTCCAAGTTCCTTACTCAAGGACCCCCATTCCGGATATGAATTCCTGAGGTATTTATAGGATTCCTTGCCAGTGTGGTTTAATTTACATTGGCCAAACTAAGAGAGCCTTAAAATTTCGAGTCAAGGAACATGAGCCATATGTTAGAAAAATGGAAACACAAAAGTCTTCTGTTGCCCAGCATTGTTAGTCTGAAAACACACTTTCAATTTTTCTGCTGCCAAAATTATTCGAAAAACATCTATTGGATAACTGGATTTTCTAGAGGCATTTCACATTTAAAAAAAATCTTTCTGTTCTAGTTAACGATCCTAATTCCAATCTATCTTTGCCTTTGGCCTAACAGATGGTGCCACTAGCTTAGTTGCTGTCCAGGCTTTCTTATCTTATCTATTCATTATATCATATCTCGTTCATTTGCGCTTTTGCAGCTGAGGATGATGGTTTGGTAAAACCATCAAAACTAGTCCTGTGAAAATTTGAAAATATAATGCTTATTTTTGTTGTCTGACTTCTGTATCAGTGGAAATCTTCTTTAAAGTATGTATGATTATTGTAAATCTAAAATATAACTTTATAACTGTTTCAAGAAGTTCATAATTTAATGTTAACGGTTTAAAAGCTTTTTAGGGACTAGGATTTATTCTCAAATTTGCTTTTGCTATGTTAAATATTAGACTGTTTAATAATCATACATATTAAATTGTTTCGTGTTAAATATTAGATTGTGCTTGATAATAATGCATACACTATACATATGTTTCATGCTCAGAATAGTATTGAAAGAATGAAGGCAGTTTCTCAGATTGTGGTTTTAATTTATTGAATTCTATTTGCTGATAAATCCTTATTTTTTTTTCATTGGTGTCTTTAAAAGTCCTTTAATATAATGGGGATGAACCCTTCAACCCTATATTACTTGTGATGTAATTCTAGAATCTATTCGTATTCTTAGAATAGGTATAGTATAGAATAAAATGGTCTTAGAATAGGAATAAAACCCTTAGAATAGGATGGGTTAGTATTCTTAGAATTCTTTTTTCTTAGCTGTGAAACTCGATATCAAACATTTTTTTCCCTGGAGAAAGCTTTAGGGAGGGCAACTAGGAGGCATTGTTGAACCCCTTTGTGGTTTAGCAGTGTCTTTACCATATATTTGGAAATGATCTAACATATAAAAATAATTTCTTACTAAATTTACTCTTCACATTAGATTAACTATATTTTGAAATTTTGCAGGAGTTCCTGTCTCAACTCAGTGGGATACAAGAGGTCATTTTTATCCAATACAAATAGCTCAATTTGGATTAAGCCATTTCAGTAAAAACTTGACTGAAGGATCTCCTACCGTTGTCCTCATACATGATGGAGAAACTACTTTCCTCGGCAAATGGTTGCATTCTGAGCAGAGTTCCCATAAAATGATATTCGATTCTGTTGCTGGAAGCAATGTTTTGGAATTCAAGACAAGTGGTATGTATTGTAAATATTCAGGCTCCCCTCAGCCCCGTATTTGAGTCATTGAGCAAGTAGAGAGGATAAGAGATTATACATCAAGAATATCTTGCTCTCTTGCCCATTTTAAATTGTCAACTAACTTTTATAATTTTAATATGCTAAAATGAAATTGTCTTTTATTTTACATTGCATAAAAAATGTGCAAAAATTAGTGGCCTTTATCTTCAGACATTTCTTGCAAGCGAAAACTGTACTTGGGTACTGGAAAAGTACAAGAACTACACATATATGCAAAATAATATATTTTAACAGAAATGTTTGGGTCACTTAAAATAATTTTAAAATCTGTTACTGGATGAACACAAGGAATAAATACATCATGAAGTTTTTATTTGTTCCTTTGAATACAATTTTTTGTATTCTTATTTTGATGTATAGAGCCAATTAGTAAACTTATTTTACTTTATTTGATGAAATTGGTAGCTACTTTGTTGCAGCCGTCCTAAAAAAAAATTAGTTCCTAATTTTTCTATATGAATTCAAATTATAGCCTTTGGAACTTTTACTCATAAGTTTCTCCATCACCATTCTTCTCTGCAATTTTATGTCTTTGATCCCTTCAAAAGTAAAGGAAATTCTTAAAACTGAGAATTGTTAGTCCTATGACTGCTGGATTGCATACATTGAATTGAAAATGTTAATGGTAAAGTGAGTAAAACAACAGTATATATTCAAATGCAATAAACCTGTTTTTTAAACAGTGCTCAGTGTCATTTTCAGTTGTCCCCAGTATAGAAGTGATATTTTCGTGGTTATTTTTTATGCAGAATTCATAATATACTTTTAATATTTGTGTCTGCTATATAATAAACTTGATTTAAATTGATACAAAGTGTGGTCAAGTTTCCACTCGTGCTGAGAAAGAAAGTTCTGTTAAATGTTCAAAAATTTACTGACATTATGTTGATTTTTTGCTTATTATTAGTTACTTTAGCATATGGTTCATGGTCATTAACCTTTGCTGATTTGACTAATGTCAGCTTAGATGAAGGAAACCTTTTATTTAATTTTAACGGTCCAGAGATAAGCTTAATCACTAAACACCAGAAATAGAGCAGTTAATTGATTAAAATAAGACAGTATGAAATATGAGGCAAATAACTTCAAATAAAGTTTAGCAGAGTATTTAAGTTTCTAATGAGCCTAATCTCATCTTTTATCTCGTTAACATAATTATGAAATTTATCACTATTTATGGTAAAATTATAGATGAATTAATTTTCAGTTTAAGTATCTTAACTGTATAATATTGGCCATGCAAAGAAATATAATGTGTATAGTGGCATGGTGGTTATGTGTTTGGTGTATATCCTTGAATTGACGTGACTCCTTTTCCTTAAACATAACCTTTATTCACACACACCATAACTTTAAACACAACTGAAATAACCAAACGAATAACAAAACCACTAAACTAAAATTCAAAATCCTATGCTCCAGCTAAGGGCAAAGTGAGTGAGTGCACTGCCGCACTAGCAGTTTTTACATAAACCACATGACGGGGATTGGCTGCACACGCAGTCGACATTAGATTGCCACAGAGTATCCCTCCAGTGACACAGTCACGACACAAAAGGGGTTGGCTGTAAATTTCCAATTTAAGATATGCACATTCAATTAACAGTTATACTTTAAAATTGTACATGCAAAAAGAAATACAAATATATGAATAGTAATAATACATTTACAATCCTGATTGGAATATATACCCATACAATGCATAACTTAGTTAAACAGAAATCATAAGTTAATAAGCATTTTATATAACTCTCAATACGTATGCAAAAAAAAAAATAATTAATCAAATATCTATACACTGTAACATTTGCAGCAAACCACAAGAGAAAACTTTAATCATATTACAGTAATTAGTTTTTAGGGAAATGAACACGACATCCGCTGTGGGTAACTACTTGTTTTAGAACAATTTTTGAGTCTTTGCAGACTTCCTGTGGAAACTGGGGAATTACAGGTGAATTTATACATTCTAACAACATATATGCGCTGATTTCATAACGATCGATTGTAAACTGTAATCTTTTTGTATATTTACCTCGATAGTGAAAATTTTTGTCCGTTCCTTTAACCACGGTATGAGGACCAGTGTAAGGTGGGAGTTAGAGGTGGTTGGTAAACAGAATCGATACTGCAGAAATACATGAGAAACAGGTTTGAAGTGCTGGATGTACATAAATTGGTGATTGAATATGCCTAGAGGTTTGGAATAGGTCTAACTAAATGCATGAACTGATCGAAGTTGTGACACATAAGTAATTCAGTAGGAGATACAATAATTTGTGCAGCATTCAGCATATCTGATGGTACATCTAAGTGTAGTACCGTAGACCAAGTTCTGCGCAAGAAGAACCATATATCATTTATATCATTTATATCTTTCTTAATGGCAGATCTAATACCCAACAGAACAATAAGCAGAATTTCAGTCCATTTTCGGTTGTTGTGAGCCATTATTGAACTTTTAAGTTGCCTATGAAATCTCTCAGTCAGTCCATTGGACTGAGGATAATAAGCAGTAGTTCTAATGCGATGTGTACCCAAAATTTTCATTAAATCCTTAAATAAGTGAGATTCAAAATTTTGGCCTTGAACAGTTGTTATTGATACCAGGCAGCCAAATCTTGCTAACCAGTTATGCACTAACACTTTGCAAGTCGTCTGAGCTGTCTTGTCGACAGTAGGTATGACTTCTGGCCATCTGGTAAACCTGTCAATAAATGTCATGCAATAACGGTGGTTACCTTCAGACGGTGGAAGAGGACCTATGAAATCAATATGGATATGTGCAAATCTTGCATCAGGCAAGGAAAAGGTACCCAACGGTGATTTCGTATGCCTATGAATTTTAGAACGTTGGCACTATAGACATGATTGAACTGCAGTTTTAATAAATTTCTTCATATTAGGCCAAAAATAGCACTTAGTAATTAATTTTGTTGAAATTGAAATACCAGCATGAGAAAGACAGTGAATCTTCTGAATATTTTTAGAGCGAAAAGATTCAGGTATGAACGGTCGAGGTATACCTGAGTCCATATTACAGTAAAGAGTAACATCTACTAAAGGAAAATAATGTTTCTCAAGTTTAAAAACTTGTGAAGGTTGAGATAAGGAATTTTGAATTTCAGAGTCCTGAATTTGTGCTTCGGATAACTTTTTATAATCAATGTATTCATTATCAGATACTGCATCTATTTATACCCTAGATAAGGCATCAGCAACAATATTGTCACGACCTTTAATGTATCGTATGTCAGTGGAAAATTGACCAATAAAATCAAGATAACGAAGTTGTCGTGGAAAACACTTTTGGGGCTTCTGCTTAAAAGCGTATATTAAGGGCTTTTGGTTAGTGTAGATTGTAAAGACCCTGCCTTCAAGCATGTGCCGAAATTTCCTAATAGACAAATAAATTGCCAATAGTTCTCGATCATAAGTTGACCATTTCCTTTGACTTTTGCTGAGTTTAATGGATAGAAACGCAATGGGTTCCCAAACTAATTATTTATGCAGTTGCATTAATGAGCTACCAACCACAACATCCGATACTCAGTACAAAGTATCAAAGTCGCACCAGGAATTGGGTGGTTTGAGAAGGGTTGCCTCAGCAATTGCCGTTTTTGCATTTTTCGAATGCTTTCTCGGCTTCGTCGTCCCATTCGAGAGGATATTCTTTTGCTTTGCTTGGTTGTGAAGGTTTTCCTTTTATTATTGGGGCCTTCCGTAACTATTCAAGGGAGCTTAAACATTGAAGCTATTGGGACAAAATGTCTGTAAAAATTAAATATGCCAAGAAATTTCCTTAACTGAGTTAATGTGTTTGGTTTAGGAAATTTTTTGAATAGCTTCTACCCTCTCGGTAAAGGTTTTAAAACCCTGTTCAGATACGTGAAAACCCAAAAATTCCAAAGAAGTTAAACCAAAACTGCATTTAGATACAATAAGTCTTACCCATAATTACTTAATCTTTCAAAAAGGGCTTCTAAGTGTATCAAATGCTCATTTTCGTCTTTTGACGCTATCGAATATATCATTGACAAAAGCAAATACTTCCTGGCAGCTCGTGAGTTGCTTCATCAATAAAGCGTTGAAAGGTTGCAGCTGCATCGCATAACCCAAATTGCATTCTTGTGCTCTCAGAAAGTACAAAAGGAGTGGCAATAGCCGTTTTATGGATATCAGAGGGATTAACTTGGAATTTGGTGATATGCTTTAACTAAATCTAATCGAGAAAAAACCTTTGTTCCATGTAACTCCGCTGCAAAATCGCAAATATTGGGAATATGATACTTAATCCTTCACTGTCTGAGCATTTAACCTCCGAAAATCTCCCACTGGTCTCAATTCGTTTGTGCCCTTTTTTGACACCATGTGAAGAGAAGAGGAGTAATCACTTTTGGAGGGTCGCATGTGACCTAAATTGATCATTTTTTCTGAATTTCATGCTAGCATTTTTAATCTATCTGGAACTAATCTCCTTGCTTACATGAACAGGAGACCAATGGTTTCAATGAAAGTATACTATTAGTTTATAGTCTCACTAAGATCAGGAAGCTTTGACAGTGAAGGATAGTTAGACAGTAATTTATCATGAATACAATTTGTAGTAATTGTTTAACAGAATATAAATGTGTGTTAATTACACTGCAGTTAATTTTTAAATGTGTTTTTAAATCATTAAGGTTTTTGTTCCTTAAATCAGGTAATAAATCAAAATAATGCAAGAAATCAGATCCAATAATATTTGTTGACACTTTACACACATAAAAAGTAAACTTAAAATTATGAAGTCCAAGGTCTTACTTAAAAGTCCAAGGTCAATACTTAACGCTTTTTGTCCATAAACTGGAATAGGGGTACCATTTGCTGCAGAAAACGTCATAATAGGTGTTTGACGCGCTTCCTGTCTGGTTGCTGAAAGAAGGCTGATATCTGAG